AAATCTACCCCGTCCACATTTTCCTAGGGGCTGAAGTTTTTTTGGTCTCTCTCTTTCTAGACTCCACTGATTTTTCAAGCACCCCCCAAACGCCTTGCTTCCCCAAAGCCTCGCCCCTGTTTAAGTTATGCCTGAGGCAGTAACACAAAATTAAGGAAGCTCCGAGAGAAGGAACTTGCTTTACCTTCTCCTGATGGACCCTGAGATCCAGAGCAGACATCTGGTTCTTTAAATCCCTGGACTTTTCTAGATGATGGTGGGTTTCTAATGTTCATCTTGGTGTATTCACTGAATGATTGTCTTTCAAGTGCCTTGCATTTGATTGCTCAGCACCATTAGAAGGCAGGGGAGAGGAAACAAAAGAAAACCCCAAAAGTAGCTTCTCATTGAGTTTAGACAAGAGGTGGACTTACACTCCCCCTAACGACCTGGTGTACAAGCACCTTCGCCGTTTTTCTAGACCCAACACCAATGTCATTAATGGTTACCATTTTCCCAGGAAACGCCGCATATTCTGCTACAGTAGGTGTGTTGCACAGTCTCTGAAATGGTTATGAAATTCCTCCGCAAACCCACACTCAGTCATCACTTTACAGAGCCAGAGGGAGGTTTAACCATGCGTGGCTGTTAATGGTAATGAAATATGCCAACATCTCCTAAAAATCTAGGGTATCTTTTATTGTTTTGAAAACCTAATAAGAGATCACATCTTGAACTCTCAAAACTCCATAAAAAAGAAAGAGAAAGGATCTAGAAAATGCAGTTTCCTTTTCACGCTGTCTCTTGTCCTAAATCCCGGCATTCTGAAAACAGTTCAAGTCATGCTAATTTAACTAGAACTCTGCGCAATTAAGGTAGACTTCAGAAACTCTTTTTGAGATTAAAAATGCTTGACTGGGTGACTTCTGAAAGCCTACCTTGTGTTTTGTACTCAGGGAAAACTTCTATTACACTCTGAAGGGGAAGGATGTGGAAAGACTTTACCTGGACAGGGAGAGTTGTACGCAAGGTTTCTTACTAGCCTGCGAGCCAGCCACGAAACAAGAGGATCTTGTGGTCTATTTTATCTAAGGGGATAAGCTGATTTTTTTTCAAACCCATTTTAAAGAACATGTCTATGTAAGCTGTAGGGACAACCTAATTAATCAGGATCTTCTTAATAGCAAAATAGCAGAGGCCCATTCAGTGCAAGAACACAGAGGACAGATCATAGGTACACACGCAGAACAGAGCTGATCCCAGCGGAGGTCACGGCTCCCAGGACTGCCTGTAACGCTGCAGTGCGACGGGCATCGAAGCTCTCGCTCCTGAGCATGTGACAAGACTTAGGTGTAAGTCCATTTAATTAGAGCGTTATCCAGGCCCCATCCAGATGTCGTTATCTTTTACGGTGCTTTTGCTTTTTAAAAAAATTCTTCTTCTTTGATCTTTCCGTCCAACTTCTGCTGTCTTCAGAAAACTAAGCTTGGTGTGTCAAACAGATTTTCAATATTCAGCTCTGAACATGTTTGAATCCAGACAGTTCTCACAGTTGGGGTCCATTATTTTTGGAGGCATGTGCTGAGGGTTATCAACATTAATGAGAGTCATGTGCACATGTAAATAAGAAACAGGATACACTACTGCAGAGGGTGCCTGTGTGTGTGTGTGTGTGTGTGTGTATAAATGGGTATCGGTATTTGTGCAAGGTACACATTGCTTTGTTGTTGTTTCATGAGCAGGGGAAAGGATCTTTTTTTTTTCTCTCAACCAGGTTTTCTGGTGAAATCCCTACTAAGATGTTTTTGTCCAAGAACACCCCTAAAGCCTATTACACAGCCCTAAGTTTATAATTCACACTTCAGTCCCAAATTTGCCAACTAATTCATGTCAAGCATAAGTCCAACATAAAGTACCAACTGTTTCTTGAAGAAAAACAACAACCCACTGTTTCACGTGCTGGGTTTTTAAGAAATAAAAAACATGAGGTTACGGGAACCACTCACTAACAGTAGCAAGGGGTGGGCTAATTCCCCTGGCACTCCACTGGGCATTTGTCTCTTTTCACCCACGTACCTTGAACTGAGAGATGTGAAATCAGGTTTCCCAGAAGCAATGTGAAAAGAAAAAAAAAAATCTTCTATATCTTACAGAATATTCCCATTTTTATAATTTCCTCCCCAGGCCCTGCTACAGACACAGTGGGTTCCTCATTCACACGATAACCTTCACTCTGTGACAGAACTTCCGAGGGACTCTCCCGGAACATTGCAGGTAACCTGACTCCAGGAAAGTTAAAAATAGTCTCTCCACCAAATTAAACATTATCTAAGTCCTCTACACAGTTATTAACTACAGAGGAGATCACCTCTGTGCATAATCTATAAATGGCTTGGATTACATATTAAAATTCTAATTAAAAGTGTTTGTCTCATCTCGGTGGGCCGATTTGAGACGAGAGAGTCAAAGCCGTTCAGAGGGAAAGCACCTGTGGAAGCGAGACTTCTGATGGCTGCAAGTTAGAAACTCATGGCAGAATTTCCATGTAACTCTTATGGAAAGAAAATAAGGCAGAACCATGACCTCCTTCCAAGACCCCCTTTGCACTGTGGCTGTTTTAGTGCCAATGAAGAGGTGCCCTGGTGCCTTATTCCACAGAACTGGACTTTCTTGAGAGTTGGAGAGGAAGAGGTGAGAGATGAAGCTTCTGCAGGGTGTGACAGTGTTACCATGATTACGTTCAAAGCTGAAACCTTAAAAACCCTGATCATGTGTCTTTGCTGATTAGAAAATCCATCATGAAATGTATAACTAAAGCTTTTCAGTATTTAAGATCCAGGATGAGGTATGCTATTGGGTTTCTGTTTAATCCACTCAGTAAGGAAAACATTACTTCTGAGAGCACTGTTCAGAAAAGTCACTGAAAATGTAGTGGAAAATATTAGGGGCTACTTTACACCATCCAAACGCCTGTAATATTTACTAGTTTTGTCATTTGATCATTAATAGAAGAGAAAGTATGTATTTTCCCTATCAATCCCCTCACTGGAGCACAATAACATATATATTATAGAGTCTACCTGATCAACTTGCTCACATAGAGCTTCAATTAGATAAATATTTGGTTTCAGAAAAACTCAATGAAATACTTTACTCATCAATTAGTAAGCAATCAGATATATTAGGTAATAGTAGAGTATTTTGCCTTTCTTATTCTACACTAGCTGCTGGAAGTCAATTCTGAGAAGATACACACAGGGAACAGAATGTTCATATGTTGAATAGTAACAAAGGGAAAGTTTCTGCATTGTCACATGCATAAACGAAACAATATGTTTTCCATGTTTCCATAAATGTCCTCTTAAGTGGTCTCAGACTTGCAGCATAATAAAAACAATTAACGTGGAGCTGACTGATGAGAGTTGATATTCAAAGCATTTCATAGACATTGTGAAACTCCCAGAAGGGAACCAGGCAGAAAGGTTGGTAAAGATTTCCCTTCATTTATTTTGTACAGCATTTTAAAAATCACAGACTATTCCAGAACATGAATGTTTCCTTCAAGAGCTACAATTCGGAAGTTTTTGTTAGTCGACCTATACTATCCTGTTCCCCACTCTGAGTGAGCCAGGGCCTACCTGCTTCTCCAACAGCTGTCTCCAGGGCTGCACCGGGGTTGGGACAGTGGTCTGATACCTGCACAACTTCAGCTGGAGGTGCTCTTCTCTCTTCCCTCTGTCATGTGCCGTCTTCCCCATCCAAATCTTTGGATAAAAGTCAGGATAAAGCATGATTTATTAATATAGCAAAGTCATTACAATCCTGAGCTAAAATGTTATTGGAGCTCTCCCTAGCTACTGCTGTTTAAGGAAGTCTTTAAAAACCAATTTAATTTCCTTCCACCCAGTCAAGTTTTCTCCACAGATAATTGGTTTTCATTATATGCACAAAAAGCATCAGTGAAGTCAGTATGTA